GCATGTGCGTTGCCATTCCAGAAAAGCACGGCGACTGCAGTCGTGCCCTCTCGTGCATCGGCGCAACAAAAAAACGCCGCGACTTGAGATTGCGCCGTCTTGCGTTAGCGGGGCAAGATCCCACCCGGTGGGATTTCATAGATCGCGTGTCTTCACGTCGGGATTATCAAATACCCAAGTAAAGGTATACGTAGATATATAGACATTTACACTATAATATAATGGGAGGAAATCCTGGATTTGGAAATCCCCGATCTTTGACCCGACCGCACAGGGCCCAGCCCGCTAGGATTCTGAAGAAACATGGGGGGGGCAGCTCGGCGCGGCCGGAACAAGAGTCAGCCTGTTCGCCCGCCCACTCGCGCGGAACGGACGGAACCTGCGCCGTCTTGGCGTCCCCATATAACGCGACAATATGTTGCAGCGGCGTGATGTCCGCGCCCCCATGAAGAATCGCCGTGACTTGGAATTTACTCATCTTGCGTTGGCAAGGCAGGGCCCCACCCCGTGCGACGTGCAAAACCGCGCGCGACTACGTCGGGATGTTAAAGTACCCTGTTTAAGCCAAATACCTACATATAATAAAGCAAAATCCCGCATTGAGAAATCCCGTATCTTTGCGCCGGCAGCTCTTGACCCAGCCCGCTAACATTATAAGGGGAAGTGGCGGGGCAGCTTGGCGCGGCCAGGGAAGGGGCCAACCCATTCGCCCACCCGCTCGCGCGGAAGTGACGGGCGGAACCTGCGTCATCTTGGCGCCCCCATGAAACGTCGCGACTTTTGCAGTGGCGCAGTATCGATGCATTCTGAGCAAAACCAACTGAGAATGCAATGCCGGCATGCGCGCGAGCAGCTCCCACGCGCAGGTCGGAAGGATGGGCCGTTGATGCTACTGGCTTTCCTGGGGCATTTGCTTTCGGCTGTCGGATAGCGCCAGAGCCCCCGGGTCTGACGCTATACTCTTATAGAGGGACATCCCGAAGAGAAGCCATGATATCCCTGGCCGCTCCTCGACCTAGCGCGCAGTTTGGATGCTAAAGGCGATTCCGAGACTGTTAATTTTGCGCGGAGACAACGCCGGAGCGGGGGTCGACCTTGGAACGTCTCGAATATCGCCAAGCAAACGCCCAGCTAAGCTGGAAACCTGCATACGCGAATCAACGTCCATGCTTCTGTCGCCAGGTCCTTTGGGACGCCTCGCCTCTGGCGTCTCCCCCGTGCTGTCTCTCGCGTGGTCCGCCTGCGACGCAGCCGTGGTCTTCTTATCTATGATGGATGAGACCTCATAATGCAAGTCATCGTCTTCCATGATAGCTGAAAGTTCATGATCAGTATTATACCCCTCGCCCATTGGTTGAACCAACGCTGAGGCGCTGTCTTCCGTCGGGGTAAGGGTCGTCAAGCAGGGGAATGACGGGGGCGCCCTGGGGAATATGACCCATTGCGTCTTTTGTCGAGATGCTAGGATGATCGTGCGCAGTGCCGGAGGGAACAGGCAAATTCATGGCCTTACCTGCGGTCATTTGCATATCAGATGCGACTGCAGAATTTGCGGCTGATAACCAATCACTCGCCAAAAGGACGCTGTTTCTGGCAAGAGTGGAGCTTGATACTGAAGCTAATGCGTTGGTCTCGTCTCTCAAGATAGGCGTCTCTGAAATGCTTTCCATAATCCGTTAAACTGTGAATACATGCGCACAAGAGAACCAAGGGAGAGAGGAGGGACGCCGATGACACCGACGACAGTCCGAAACCTTTCAACTTTCTCGCCGATGGGCCAGCGGTGCCCATGCACAGCGACTCTCGCAGTTGCACTTAAACAGATGCGGCGGGCGGCGGCAGGGAACGAGCAGGGAGAGAAGTGTAACGACGATTTCCACTTGCAGGCCTTCCCGCGAGATTTCTGCGACACAGTCGTCACATGGCTTTGACCTTGGCGATGGTTCCTGAACCGATATCGGGGGCGATCTGAAACCGCAGGCCTTGGAGTCACCCTCCGGATGAGACTAGTCAGCCGTTCCACGATTTAGGCGGGGAGTCGACTTGACTGGTCTCTCTTCTCCCCACGGGACGGATGCGCGATCGTCCATTTATTCATCCAAATCGAAAGATATCGCGCAAGCTTGACGGACGCCAAGCGGCAATGGTTGCTCGTCCAAGCTGCTCGACCCATACCATTCGGCGCCTGCCTCCGCCTTGTCTGCGCGCGCCCGTGGCGCGCCACAACGGTCAGGGCCTCCTTCTGCCGGCGCATCCCCCGACGACAGCGAGAAACCCTCGCTGATATTCTGCGAAGAACGCGAGTCGGAACCCCCAGCGCAGTCAGAGGACTCGGGGTCGAAGGCGATAGTTTGGATACCTTTAGAAGTGAAGCTCTCGGATGGTAACCAATATTTTGCCGACTCATGATGGATCCGGGCATTAGCTGGATCCTGTTCACATGCTAAAGACTTTCTAGTAGTGGTCCCAGATTCAGCTTAGTAGGGGATGCATTTGTCGC